GGCTCTATAATGTGCCACCTTCACCCCAGCTGACGCCCTCCCTCCTGCATGCCGTAAAGAATCAAAGCACGCCAATATGACCCAAGTGTTAGGCTACAGCGTAGGGATCATTCCTGCTAATAGCGAGCAGCGAGTTTAGTGCAAAAACGCATGATCGCACCGGATAGCCTGGTGCGTTTCAGCCTGGGTTACGCATGAATACGGAGTCTGGGAATCGAACCAGTCTCCTTCACATTTGTCAGTGACTTGCCAAAGCACTGCACCATCGATCCTCCTACACCTAGCCTAACGACTGATGTATATGTCTGTACTCTGCGCAGTACAGCCTTTAAAAACAGCGAGTACTGGCAATTTTCGGTTCCTATTCGAGGTATTTTGCTATGTGCCGTGCAGAACTGATAGGGTAGAACCGAAGTCCTACGAAAAATAGCTATGCAAAAGTAATACCGCAAAGAATTCAAGATATAGATTTAATCTATACGACCTGGGACAGCACGTGGTGCAGTGTTGGTTCTTCTAGGCGCAACAAGTCGTGCGTCTCCATAAATTTTTTTCCTTCTGTCTCTCTCGAAGTCAGATGCTTATTAGTAGTGGGCCAACTCGTAAAGTTATTAGAAAGTATTAAGAGCTTGGCATAAAAACCCAGTCATATTCGCTCAGTTTTCAAAACCCTCACAGAGGTTTTTCTCCGGATGAATGCTTTCGAACAATTACTTGCACCAAACGCCTAAAATTGATAGCAGCAATTTTTTCTTAGCATCGTTCTGGAGCCGTACCGTGCTAACTTGGCGAGACCATGCCCCAAGTCACAATAACTAGCTTCTAGTCTACTATCCAGCCTACTCAGGACTGTTCCATCATGACGGATCTTGGCTTTGTAGAACGTTCTTTAAAGGATCAAATAAATATAACACTGAAAATAAATCCACAGTCGCCGCTTAGAGTATAGTACAAGGTTTAAAACTAACTTCTGAATGCTCCCAGTCTTCCGTACCTCCGAGTATCACTCATTCTAGAATTAAACACCAAACATATTTAAACCTGTTTCGCAGTAATAATTTTCGGTACTGGTTGAGAAGATAATCATGAAAACAAACTTATAGATAGGATAGGCCCATGTCCTCACGCTGAAAACATCGTATTTTCGTATGGGTAGTTGCTCCTGATAGTAATTGATATTGGTATGATATGGCGTAGTGATGAAGCCGAGGGGAGTGCGTGCCCTGTACGGATTCAGTGGCAGTCGGTCGTCCTGGATCACCTCAAATCAGTGTAAACAATACGACGCAAAATAAATGACCGCTGACCAACGGCAAAGCTGATAAAAGTACCCTGTATTCAAGTATCACTGGCTCAAGCCACTGTCCGAAAATGCTTTCAGCAGTGATGAGGGCAGCCATACGTAGAACTCAACTAATCCAAACATGCAGGCTAATTCTGATGCTTTTTTGTGACTGTCACCTTCCCAGGAGATTTTGTTCGAGAAGAACTTTGAAACGGGGAGCGGGAACGCTTGGAGACGAGGTGATAAAGTTCAGTGCATCCACTGAACCTCAAAGTGGTCAAAACGTTGTCAAAGTGCTTCTGCTAAAACAACCATTGAACCGGTAACTTCTTCATAAGATGAAGGGAAGTTCGGAAAACCCAGAAGGCTGACCATGAGAAAACACATCAGTGGTCAAAACAATTATGAAAGAAATAAAGCAAATGGCATGACAGTCGTTTACATTCCGAATATGATTCTGTGATGAACCAATAACCGTTCAAGTGCCAAGTTAATAAAGTGAGTGGGAGGTCTAAAATCCTTTCATGAACTCGAACAAGCTTGATTATGCTTTGTAACCTTTGTACTTTGGACTTGAATCAAACACCTATAGGCCATAAAACCTAAAATTCTTAACATCTACCAATGATCAGATCAGTTTTGCGTCGCACCTGCTCTCCTTGTACATACCACTACTTATTAAATGATGCTACGAGAGTACTATCCACTACTACACATACCGCAGCAAAATTACCTTGTAACCGGCAATTTCACGTACCGGCGTATATGAACGTCGAATATTACGCTCGTATCGTTCCTGGGAGTCTATTGGTGTAGTCTCGCGTGACCACCGTCCTAAGTAGCTCTCCCTGGAATTATAGCCGTAAAAAAGCACCAAGGCCAATCAATAGGACAAAATTTTGAGTGAACTAAGACTTTAAACGTCCCGGAATTCGAACAAGAGTTAAGAACTGTGAATTCGCGCATTCAAACTTATGTGATCTGTTTTGACATTTTCTAATGGAGCATAAAGGATCTTGCACGCTCATTTCCGATAGCTTCTCAGTATCACGGAATGAGACCGCTTTTGTTTTGCATCTCCAACCGTCTCGCACGGATTTGTTTTAAGACCAGAGTTCACGACGACTTCACGAACTTTCAGAAATAACCAATGAATCATAAAGAAACTATGGCAAAAGAGACAAAAACAAACACTTCCTTGAAAATATTACACAACTTGCTAAGATAAATATTACCTGTTTTAATCAAAAATCCTGAAACTCACCAAAATCTTTCAACGAAAATGCTAATAGAATTGAATATTATGCTGACTGGTGTATTTTCACTTCTCAGCAGCAAACTGTAGGGTATCAGGCTCACTTAACCTATTTTGAGACCAAAATCGAAGAGAAGAAGTCCCACATTCAGCAGTCTATACCAGTTTTGTGTTAAAAACAAGCAGATCGCTGCGGGTAAATTTTTCCACGATTCAATCATCCATTTCTACTGTACAGTTGTTTTGACATATACTAAATAAAAACAGTCATCAGCTTACATGGAAGCATTCTGTCATCCATAGCCTTGTGGCGGGTGGTTACTGTAGGTCCGCGCTATCATTTGGGGTTTTTCCACGTAACTGCGCTTCTCGCTTGCAAAATCTTGGTTTTGCTTCATTTTTTGAAGAGCTAGGACAAACCTTGGTATAAAACTAAGATCGAGTGATCTAGATCGCCTCACAGAATAATTCATTATGGTTTGTTGACTGAGC